CACTGGCCGCTCGCCCCCCCCCCGGCGACGGCCCCGAGGGGAGGGGCGGCCGCCCCGAATATGGACGAGTAGACATGCACGAGAGAAACTAAGACGGAAGACCAGCGCGGCGGGTAGCTGGTTGCAAGATGGCGGTCACGAAAGCGAAGGGGAGCTGTGGCCTGCGCAATCGTCGCGGAGACAGAGCGAGAACCCATTGCGGCCGCGGCGCTGCAGCAAAAGCTCCGCTGACAACTAGAGAAATTGATGCGCGGGTGGAAGGCGAAACCGGGCTTTCCAAGCGGGCGGAATGCAAGCGGAGAGCGCGAGAACGAAGCAAGCGCGCTGCGCAAATCGCGCCTCGGGCCAGAACGGCGGCGGGCCCCTGCAAGGGAAGGGCGGAATGGACAGAGCGGGCCCCGTTCGAACAGGGGGAACGGAGGAGGGGAGAGGAGACGCTGGGCGCTTTTTTTTTTTTTTTCTTCCACGGCGAGGATTCGGCGCCACAAGATGGCACCTCGTTCGGACACTTCTCAATTTGGGTCTGGATCCGAGGAAGGGGGATCTCAAGGAGCTCGGGGAATGGAGCGAAGCGGGCGGTAGTTGTCACGCAGGCGTTTCATGGCGCCCCTCCATCACGCAGGATGCTTCTGCTAGAAGGTGCAGCAATCGCCGGGGGCCACTGAATCGGACAAAAAAAAATTGGTTCCTCTGCGTCTGGGAACGCAGAGGGCATTTCCGCAAATCGATTTCGCGCAGCCTCACTCCGGGCCTTGGCACTGGCGGCCTGGATAGGACAACCCAGTGCTCTGCGGATCTAGAGTTCCCCAAAGAGCAAGCGTCGACGGGGTCGTGCGCATCGCCTGAGGCACCCCCCTCCTCCGTGCACCTCCTCCGTGCAAACCAAAAAACTCGGAAGATTCATTTGGCCGGCGGAACTCCATGCAGAAAAGCACGACGCATTGAAGTGGGAGATGACTTCGGTCAGCTCGACGTCGAGTCCCTGCGCCATGTGACAGCTCGAATGGTGTTTACAACTCCCCCGTTGCCTGCCTGTGTTTTGGCGCTCTGTGTATTTCGCGCTCTTAGAAACCTGGGGCATGCGAGCAATCCTCCCCAGATGAGGGATACTCTTCCTGGAGCTCCTCATCCGAATACTTCCCCCGTAGAGACACATCAATTTTTGAACATGAACGCGCGGCCCAAAGGCAGAGCGAGGAGCCATCTGTCTACGGAGATGGCGCATACTGAACGCACGTCGCTGCTGGCGAGCCCGCAATCGCTGGCGAAGGCGCCCATCTCGTGAGACGGTCGAAGCAGCTGAATGACCGAGTCGTGCGCCAGTGCGAGAAGAGACCCACGAACCGGGCGTCCTTCACCAGGCGTCCTTGCTCAATGCCTGTGCGCAAGGAAAAGTCACCAGAGAGCTGGCGCCCAAGACAGTTGCGGTGCCCCGCAAGGTACCAAAAGTGTAACCAAACGGTGCCCCAAAACTTTTGTTGTTGGTCGACGCGCGGTGTGTTTCGAGATTACCTTCATCGTTTGCCAGATATCCTCGTGGTCCCTTCGCCCGTTTGCCCGATACTTCCCTGGCCTTCTATTCTGGTCTCCTCTCAAGCCCCCTGGGGCTCCATCTTTGCGACGCGAAGCCGTTGCGACACGGCGCCAAAGCGACGCGCCACAGCGCTGCACCAACATGGGGCTCCTGCAATCCAACGCCTGGAGTGACCCCCTGCGTGCCCAAACTGACGCCCGTGCTGCGCCCAGACTAGATGCCTAAAGTGGCTCGCCGCGCCTACGAAACAAAGCTCGTTACCCCAAAATGTGCCCCGCATGGAAAAAAAGGGCAAACGGCGCGGGACATCCTCGCATCCGAACCAATTTCGGGCACAAAGCAACCCAACAAACTGGATTGGGCACCGCTTTGGGCACCATGTCGGGCACGGCGCAACCATTGTTAGGCACCGTGGTTCCCGCGTCTCTGCACACAGGACCTCCTGAGATGCACCGACGGCGGCCGCGTCGGGAATGGCGCCCGTGAGCTCGATCGGGCATGGGCACAAGGCCCCGGGCCCAACGACAGAAATCCTCAAACCCAGGACGCAGGTCCCTCGGGCCAACGACACAGGCCCTGGAAGCAACGATCGATTCGATCGCTGCTACCCTCCAGTATCAAGCCTCGCGTGGTGCCTGAGACACGAGGGTGTGCGCCGCACTCCGGACAATCTCTCCGCCCGCAATTTTGGCGCGCGTCGAAGGAGGAGGAGGAGGAGGAGGAGGAGGAGGAGGAGGAGGAGGAGGAGGAGGAGGAGGAGGGGGGAAGGGAGGAGGATAATGTTGGGGCACGGCCATTCGGGGTCTTGGACCCGTCCTGCTATGAAGAACACAGTGCTCGCTCACGAGCGCCTCTGAACATTGATCTGGTGGCCCTCGAGAACCGATCGGGAAACTTCATTCGGTTCAGGGTACCTCATCAGGGCCTCGTGAATCAAGCTGGGGAACGCGGCTTCCTCATCAATGAAAAATGCAACAGTCTTCTGGAACCCTTGCTGGGCCAACCAGTGAAGACATGCGGACTCCGATTCGATGATGTTGCCGAGCATTTGCCGACCCGGAACGAAACCACGCTGCTGATGATACACCGATTGCTCGCTCTCTATTTCTCTTTCTCTCTCTCTCTCTCTCTGTCTCGCACAAGCATATACACATACACACGTTTCCCAGGGGCGAGTCGAGCGCGGCAGCTGTGATTCGACTGCTGGCGTTCTGGAGCGGGAGGCGCATGGTCTTCTCTGGTTCCCGCACGGCACACGTCGCACTCCCCAGGGCCCACTGTGATGACCTGGGGTCGGTTTTTGGTACTTTGCGAGAGATTCAACACTTCGTTTTGGGAACCCAGATTGTATTCCCTGCAGTCGATCATGGCGCGCTTCATGGTGCAAGTCTCAGGGCTGCAGCAGCGGCCCAGCTGTCGAAAATTAGGGGGGAACCGTCGGCCCTCGCCCTCCGCGAGGAGGAGTGCCATGGCGTCGCTGGAACTGGAGGGGGGGGCAGAGCCACCATGGAGCACGGGGCGGCAGAGCGAAGGGAGCGTGCCTTGGGTGGCCGGGCCTGCCCTCGACCGCCCAGCAGAGCGGCGCGTGCTGCCCCGGGCCAGGAGCACGCACCGTCGGGGATGCGCTCCGTCGCGCACACGAGGACGCCGTGGCTCACTCGGGGATGGACAGACGCCCCTTCAGTAAAACGTTGCTGAGCGAAAACGACCTGAGGCCCAGACCTGGCGGGCGCGAGCCCGGAAAATGACGGCCACGGCGCCCTCTCGAGAACCGAAAACGGACAACTCACTAATCGACGTGTCACTAAAACAATTTAAAAAAAACTGCCTGGACGTGTCGCGCCGCGTCGCTTGTTCTCGACGCGCCCGGCATGGACGGCGCCGGTGCCGCGGCAAAACCCACGGCAGGCCCCTGTGCCCCGCGCCCCGAGCAGGCGCAGCCGCCGCCGCGGCAGAGCCCACAGCGAGCCCACCGCGTCCGAGGAGGCGTTTGCCCTGGTGCCCGCGGCGCCCTCCCCAAAACAGAAGGCAGCTCGCCGCAACAAACGGCGCGGCGACATAGAGGGTTCGAGACATCTGAGGGCGTCTCGGGAACCTGCGGCAGCGGAGCGTACCTCCCCCCAGCACCTGGCGAGCTCTTGGCCAGTCTCGCCAGCTTCAGACATGGCCGTGCCAGACGGGTGAGCCCGAGCTTGCGGTTCGTCGTGCTTCAGACCCTCCTGCCCGCGTGCAATGTAAAGCGAGACAGGCAAGGAGGGACGAGGAGCAGGGATGGGATAGGGAGAGAGGGAGGCAGGGAGGGGGAGCAGATGGAGGAGGAGGAGGAGGAGGAGGAGGAGGAGAAAGAAGAAGGAGGAGGAGGAGGAGAGGAGGAGAGAAAAGGAGAGGAGTTGAGGAGGGAGGGAGGGAGGGAAGGAGGAGGGGAGGAGGGAGGAGGAGTAGAGGCAGGAGAGGGAGGAGGAGGAGGAGGAGGAGGAGGAGGAGAGGAAAAGAGAGGGGGAGAAGGAGCAGGAGAAGGAGGAGGAGGAGAGGAGAAGGAGGGAGGAAGGGGGGAGGGAGGAGGAGAGGAGGAGGAGGAAGGGAGGAGGAGGGATGGCGCGAGGAGGAGGAGGAGGTGGAGGAGGACGGGGAGGGAGGGATGGAGGGAAGGCGCACGCCCAGCCCGGCGACGACGGCGGCGAGGCCGCTCGGACCGGCGACGACGGGGACGGCGCGGGGTCCCTCTTTGCAGCTCAGTTCGGCCTGCGTGCCAGCCCGGGCGGAGCGGTCCCCCGAGGGGCATATTTCCAGCCACCACCACCATGAGTTGGAGGGGGGATGGAGGTGGAGGACGAGGAGGAGGGGGAGGAGGATGAAGAGGAGGAGGAGGAGGAGGAGGAGGAGGAGGAGGAGGAGGAGGAGACCCTCCACCTCCAACTCATGGTGGCGGTGGCGGAAAAGGGGCCCATCAGGCTGGGGGGGAGGGGGAAGGCCTCCCAGAAGGAGGCTGCCTCTCAGGAGGCGCCGGCCCGACATCTGCAGAGGAGGCCCGCGCCCTCCAAGGAGCAGGGGTGCGTCTGAGAAGCCTTCCCCCCGACCCCCTTACCCCCCTCTGCGCGTGGCCGGGAGGGGCAGGCGGTTGAGGCAGAAGGCAGCAGCGGGCGCGAGAGGAGGCGCGGGAGAGGGCGCGGAAGCCCTCGGGGCCCGGCTGGCCCGGGCAGCTCGCACTCGCCGTGCACGTCGGCCGCCCCGAGGTGGGGCACGAGCGGAAGCCGTAGAGCCAGAGAGAGGGAGGAGGGTTCGGCGGTGGACAAACCTGCCTTTAGTAAACCTCCCCTTAGTGAAAACGGCCTGGGACCGAAACCGACGGACCTGGACCCGCAAAAATGACGGCCGCGACGCCCCCTCGCGAACCGAAAACGGCAAATCCACTAATCGACGTGTCAGGGTAGGAGGTCTATCCACCCCCGAAGGGTGCGGGGCGGGCCTTGAACTCGCCGCTGTGGTACATTTTGCCGTTGAACTGCACCCCGGGCTGCACAGACATCGGCAGGTTGCCTCGGCGTCCGCGGCCGCCCCCCCCCCCCCCCCACACACAGAGACGATTGTGCATGATTTCCGGCATCGCAGAGCTGAACCTGAACGGTGTTCTTCGTTTCTCGTTTCGGCTTCGTTTTCCCTCGTTGCGTCTCCAATCCGACGTTACCGCAAAACGGGATCGAAACGAAAACGGCCGACGAAATCGCCAAAACACAGTCTAGGCCCACCCCTGCGGCAACGGTCGCTACCCAGGGGAAGGAGGGGGGCCCGGGTAACGGCCACGCCTGGGCGGGGCGGGGCACGTCGGGGCGGGGGGCCTGCGCTGCGATCGCCGCAGTCTGCACGCGGGCACCAGCATGCGGGCGGGAGTCCAAGCCCCCGCTCCTACGTTTAAGTCGGGCATGTCCCCCTACAGGGGAATTTTCGACGAAACCTAAAAATACCCCAAACATGATTAAAACAACAGTCTAAAGATAGTCTGAGTACTATTATTTGAATATGTTTTGACCTTCTTGGGGTATGTTTTTGGTATTTTTTATTTTTCGTCGAAAATCCCCCTGTAGGGGGACATGCCCGACATGACCCTACGATCGATCGTTTCCGCCACAGTAGGGGCCCGACCACACGAAACCTCCCAGAAGCAGCCCAACCCTGAGCCCCCAGGACGTCCACTGATGCTTGCTGTGGGGGCGTCACGCCTCCCATCGCAGAACCATCGGAGCTCAAAGAACACCTACACTTCCCTTACTTCGTGTTATGGTTCTTCATGCTATTCGATTTCTTCCTCCTCCTCAAGTTTTTCCAGGTTCTAACCTACGATCGGTTGTTCCTGCAGTACACCTAGACGACGCACCCTGGAAGCAAGCAGAGTGTGTCTCTTGGCACGGCCCCCCCCCCCGCTGTGCCCGAGAATGGGGGGCTGGCCCGGGCAACGACCGCTACACGCCAGACCATAAAACAAAGTCAATAACTGAAGTGAAGGGGCCCTGGTACACACAAATAAATAGACACAAATAACCGGATTCCCAACATGTTCCCCCAATGTTATGGTTTTTTGTCTTCCCCCCCACTTCGCATATTTTCCAATAGTTTCTGGGAGTGGACAACTTGAGGTGTCTGTGTTGTTTTTCCCTCCTGTCGGGGAGACGTAAGACTCGGGTACGGGGGACTCGGGTTGGCCCGACGGGGCCATCATGAAAATGACGAGGCCCAATCTGAAATTTGACGCGAGCTCCCGCTGAAGACATCCCACGAAAACTGGACCGTCAAAATCCAGGACGGGCTCGTCAAAAAAACATCGGCAAACCCGAGTTCCGGCTTACTCAGGTCTTGCGTTCCCCCGATCCTGATGAAGGAGCTCCCCGCGGACGCGGGCCAGCGCAGCTGCCGTCCAGGCCCGGACCCGCGCGGCGGACGCGCCCGACGAGAGGCCCGCGCCGGGGGCCCGACTCTCCACGCGTCCGCTCCCCGGCGCCGGCCTCTGGAGAGGCAGGCCTTCGAAGGCCCTGCGGAGGCCGTCCGCAGAGACAAAATTCAGGTCGGGCCTGTCCCTCCACAGGGGGATTTTTCCCTCTACAGGGGGATTCTCGACGACAAATGAGAAATACGCGGAGAATGCTCAAGGGGTGCCCAACAATACTCGAAAATATAGTCCCCAGGCTATTTCTTGACTGCTGTCGAGATTCCCCCCCTGTAGAGGGACATCCCCGACTTGAGACAACATCCGGGACGCGAGCGCCGGCCCTCCGCGGGGAAGAAGGGGCCCGCAGATTGGAGGCCGTCAGCAGAGACAAAAATCCTGGACGTGAGCTCCTCCTCCTCCTCCTCCTCCTCCTCCTCCTCCTCCTCCTCGATCTCTCTTCTCCTCCTCCTCCTCCTCCTCCTCCTCCTCCTCCTCCTCCGCCTCCTCCTCCTCCTCCTCCTCCTCCCCCTCCTCCCCCTCCCTCCCTCCTCCGCCCTCCTCCTCCTCCTCCTCCTCCTCCTCCTCCTCCTCCTCCTCCTCCTCCTCCTCCTCCTCCTCCCTCCTCCTCCTCCCTCCTCCCCTCCCTCCTCCCTCCTCCTCCTCCCCTTCCTCCCCCTCCTCCCCTCCTCCTCCTCCTCCTCCTCGTCCGCCTCCTCCTCCTCCTCCTCCTCCTCCTCCTCCAGGCCCTCCGCGGGGAAGGAGGGGCCCGCAGATTGGCACGGCACAGCGCACCCCGTCGGCTGCCCGGGGGCCCTCGACCGCTCCACCCGCCGAGCCAGCCCTCCGCGCAGCAGGGTGCCGCCGCGGCCCGGCCGCGGCGGCGGCCGAGGCCGGGCGCGGCACAGCGTCTGCCGTCCGGAGGGGTGCAGGGCCCTGACCTTCCAGAGAGCTATTTTTTTAGCACGGGAGGCCTAAAAACCTAAAAACTAACGAAACGAGACAGCCTAAAACCAAGACATAGACTAGCTCTGGGATAGGTCTTTGAACTGCGTGCTGTTTTGCTAGCCCTCCCGGAAGGTCAGGGGGAGGCGGAGGTCGAGGGGGAGGGTGCTGGGAAGGGGGGGGGGGCAGCACGCCCTGGCCCGCGGCAGGAGCGCGGAGGAGGGGGAGCCAGGGGACGCGTCGTGCAATAAGAATAAGAATAAGAATAATAATAATAATAATAAGACTAACAATAATACTAATAACAACAATAATAATAACAACAATACTAATAATAAGCATAAGAAGAAGAATAAGAAGAGGAAGGAAAAGAAGAAGAAGAGGAAGAGGAAGAAGAAGAAGAAGAAGAAGAAGAGGAAGAGGAGGAAGAGGAAGAGGAAGAATAAGAGGAAGAGGAGGAAGAAGAAGAGGAAGAGGAGGAAGAAGAAGAAGAAGAGGGGGCCTCGACATCGGGCGCACTTCACGGCCCTGGCCATATCCGCACGACAGCAGACACGCACACACACACACACACACACTCACACACACACACTCACACACAGACTCGTTTTTACCTGCGCGAGACGGCGCCCCGTGGCTAAGGGGAGGAGGGGGGCAGCAGCAGGGGAGGCAGAGGAGAAAGGGGGAAAGCAGCAACAAAAGCAGCAGCGCTCACCCCGCCTGGTGGCGTTCAGCTCATAACTCGGGCTTCCGACGGCCGTCCTAGACGACCGCGCATCCCCAGAAAGCTCTCGACGAGGCGAGCTGCTGGAAAGCATCCCACCGCGAGGAAACCTTCCAAAAACCAGCAAACACATTCTCCCCCCACCACTTCGACGACGATAACGTCCTCTGGGAAAACAAAAAGATACTTCGGTGGCAACTCATGGAAGCCTCCCAAGTTCCCATACCATCTTGCTGGCTCTTGCGAATCGGCGCTCATCGACGCAAAGTCGTCTCTAAATCCACGCTAATCGACGCACGATGGCGCTAAATCATCGACTACCAATCGCTAATCGAGGCCAGTACACTCTGAAGACGGAATCACGAGGGCACACAAGGCTCCCACGATTTGAACCCGAAAGATACAGTAGCGGCTCGACCACAAAAACCTTTCCACGCGAAGCCCAACCCTGAGACCCCAGGACGTCCATGGATTCTTGGTGTGGGAGCGTCGCGCTCTCCAGCGAAAAACCGTCGAACCCCAAAGAAACCCAGGGCACCCTGGAAGCTAGCAGGGTGTCTCTTGGCATGGGCTTCCGCTTTACCCCAGAATCGGAATTGCCGTCGGATATTTGACACATACGCGGAACGTTCGCCGATCTGCCAAACATTTGACGTATTCTCCTATAGGGCCGACGAGCAAATCATTTCTGGGGTAGATCAGTGTTATAATCGATCCCCCTAGCCGAAGAGCAGAAGCCCCTTCACCGAGGGACCAACAGGCCCCGTGGCGATCCCCCCCCAAAAAACGAATCACGCCCCAGGGTGGACGCCCTAACATGAAGAACGGAAGGGCACCCGCGTCTGAAATCGAGGTCGTTCCCAACCCTCGCGCCAGCTGTGCAGATTTTTGTTTGATCTGCGGGGCGAGAGCGACACTCTTCCGCTGGAAGCTAAGCGGGACGCGCACAGCTTCAATTCGCAGAGAAAGGGCGAGAGAAGGCGGGGCGCGCACCAGCTGTGCAGTCGACCCGTAGAATGAGGATGCACGGTAAGGCTGCAAGGGCCTTGGAAGGCCGCTTCGAAGCTGCTCGAGCGGGCCGCGGCCAACGAAAGCGGCCAAGGATGGACCGAGGAGGCAAGGATGCTAGAGCACCCTTGGGGAACTTGTCCGTCCTTACTATGCGGGTTGACTGCATCGTTAGGTGGGGCATGTCGCCCTACGGGGATTGTGGACGAAAAGTGAACCAGATCTCTAAACTGTTCAAACAAATAATCAGGAATAGTCCCTATACGATTGTTTGACTGTTTTTTTTGTTGTTGTTTTTTTAACAAAAAAACTGCAGAGGGTCAGGCCCAACTTAAGCTGTGTCGCTTCCTCCCCTGAACCTCAACGTCCCCTTGGACGCCCCCGAGGGCAGCGAGACGGCTGCGCAACCCGACTGGGGCCAAGGCCGCGGGCCTGGCGGCGAAGCTCTGTGCCTCTCCTGTCCGTGGCGACCGTGGCTGCGGCAACGTGAGCACCACCAACGAAATCGACACAAGGGAAGTGGACAGTTTTTTTTGTTGTGGAGCGACCTAAAGTCAGTGGGAAAAAACTACAAAACCTCTCCTTCCGAATCCGAGGCCTCCTCTTCCTCGGGATCCTGGGGAAGGGAGTCGGAAAGAGGCAGAGGGGGAAGGAGCGGAGGAGGAAGAGACGGAGAGAGAGGAGGCGGGCGGAGGTTGGAAGCGGCCAGGGGGGCTGCGCTGGACGGGCCCCGAGATGATCGGCAAAGAGGTGCGACGGGCAAGTCCGTTCAACATCGATCCCTGGACCCCTCCTGGGGTCCAAAAGCGCACGAGTTTTTCGAGCCGCGTCCAGCCGCGGCGACAAGAAGAAGCCCCCAGGAGATCCAAAAAGGACGAAGAAGGTCGTCGTAGTCGACGTCGACGTCGACGTCGACGTCGACGTCGACGCCGTCGTCGTCGTCGTCGTCGTCGTCGTCGTCGTCGTCGTCGTAGTCGTCGTCGTCGTCGTCACCGTCCCCCAGGAGGTCCCCCCCGCTTCTGCTGGCCGAGACCGATGCTGGGCCGCCTCGGCCCCACAGCCAGCTCCAAGGCGACGGAGGAAGAGGAAGAGGCGGAGGAGGAGAAGGAATCAAGACCAAACTCCGGACCCCACCCTTTTGCACCATCTTTCGAAGCGGATCACTCCGTGAGGGTCCAGGGGCCCGAAACCTGGCGGTAACGCCCGGCTCCAGAAATTGAGACGCCAGGGGGGAGGAGGGGGAGGGGGAGGGGGAGGGGGGGGGGAGGAGGAGGAGGAGGAGGAGAGGAGGAGGAGGAGGAGGAGGAGGAGGAGGAGGAGGAGGAGGACGACGAGGAGGAGGATTGGAGGGGAGGAGCAGAAGGAGGAGAGGAGGAGGAAGGGAGGAGGAGGAGGAGGACCATATCTGGAGGAAAAGGATACACATCATAAGATGCTGGAGGAGAGGAGAAAAAAGGGACAGAGGAGGGCGATGAAGAGGCGGAGAAAGCGGAGGCGGAAGGATCAGGGGCGGAGGCGAAGGCGGAGGAAGCGGAGGACGCGCCTGCAGGAAGCTGAGGAGGCGGAGGTGGAGGAGGCGCTGAAGGAGCCCGCCCGAGCTCCCCCCAAAAAGAAAGCCCCCCCAGAGGGCCCGTGGCGAAGTTGATCTTGTCGTACCACTTCGGCGTCGCGAGCTCCTGGCGTTTCCGCGAGGGGGGCCGCTGCGCGGCGTGCCGCGCCGGCCTCCGCGTGCACCACGCGGGGGCGCCGTCGGGCGCCGCAGCGGAGCGCGCTGGTAGGCAGCACGTTTGCATACCATAGTGGAGGCCTCGGGAGCGGCCAAGAGGGGGGTGTCCAAGAGGGGGGGGTGCAAATCATGACCGGCGGCATGTGCGCGGCCCAGCGGGGGGGCCAATGACGTCACGAAATAAGAAGGGGCGCCATGAAATCTGGGGAAATATCATGGCCCCCGCCATGATATCCCCCCCCCCCTAGTCATCACCCCCCTCTTTTCCGCCCCTGAAGGCCAGAGCACAGGAAACTGTCCACACGAAACCCTGGAAGCCTCCCAAAGCTCCCAGACCAGATTGCTGGATCTGGCGAGTCGGCGCTCATCGACGTTATAAGTCGACGCTAAATCCACGCTAATCGACGCCCATTGGCGCTAAATCATCGACTACCAGCCGCTAATCGACGCTAGTGCACCCTGAAGGCGGAATTACGAGCGTACACAAGGCTCCCATGATTTGGACCCGAAAAATACAGTAGGGGCCCGATCACGAGGAACCTTCCACGCAAAATCCAGCCCTGAAACCCATGACGTCCATGGATTCTTGGTGTGGGAGCGTCGCGCTCTCCATCTCAAAACCGTCGAAACCAAAGAAACCCAGGGCACCCTGGAGGCAAGCAGGGTGTGTCTTTTGGCATGGGTCTCCAGTGCAAGGTACGGAACCACTTCGGGCTCGCGAGCGTGGTGGGTGGGGGCCAGGGTGAGGGTCATGGTTAGGGGCAAAGGCTCCCAACCCTTAGGTCGGGCATGTCCCCCTACAGAGGGATTTTGGAAGAAAAATGGACAATACCCAACACATGCTCAAAAAAAGTCGAAACGAACCAGCAAATCGTCCCGGGACTATGCTTTGACTATTTTTGAACACTCATCCTGCAGAGGGACATGACCGATTGAAGGTCAACGGCGCCTCTTCCTCCTCCTCCTCCACCTCCTCCTCCTCTTCCTCCCCCTTCCCCCTCCTCCTCCTCCTCCTCCTCCTCCTCCTGCTCCTCCTGCTCCTGCTCCTCCTCCTCCTCCTCCTCCTGCTCCTCCTCCTTCTCCTCCTCCTCCTCCTCCTCGCTCCCAAGTCCCGTTCTGGCCCTCAACGTCGGTCTGGCCTCCTCCGAGGGGCCAGAGCCAGAACGGGCCCAAAGGCCCGCCTCGGTTCCATCCCGCTGGGCTAGGGAGGCGCTTCGGGGAATCCAGAAAGCACACTTGCAGGTGCCTCCTGACTGCCCAGGGCAGCGCTCTGGCAGGCACCATTGAGCTGCGCTCCGAAGCTGCGAAGGTCGAGGGTCTCTGGGGCGCACCGCTTACATCGAACACTCGATCCCTCGAAGGCGAAGCCTTTCTGGCACGCTTAGGAGTACGTGTTTCTTTTTTTTGTTTTCTCTCTCTCTCTCTCTCTCTCGTTCTTCCTCCCTCCCACTCCCCACCTCTCTCCATATCCCCCTCCGTCCCTCTCTCTCTCTCTCTCTCTCTCCTCTCTCTCTCTCTCTTTGTCCTGATGTTTCGCTCCCTCGTTTGTCCGCTCCCCCCATCTCCCTCCACTTCTCTATACACGCATGTATGTGTAAAAGTACACGTCGTTCATCTATAATCGTGCTCATTCCTAATCGTGCTCGTGTCTAATCGTTCCTGGCCCCCCAGTGGCCAGGAAGAGGCCCAGGATAGCAGAATTAGAAATGGAAGGATCCTGGCCCCCAAACAAATCGAGGAACTCTAGAAGAATTAGAAATGAACGATGTGTATGGGACATGCCCCCTGTTCACCTGTGCTTCTCGACCCTGGGCTGCGCGGACGCCCGACCGCGAAAAGAGGAGTCCCAGGGCGTCCGGGGCTCTTGAAGGCGCCCCCTGAGAGGCTCCCGCGAACTTCCCGGGCATCTTGGTGGGCGTCTCTTCCAGCAGCATCACCACAAGTTGGAGGGGGAGGGGGTCCTCCTCCTCCTCCTCCTCCTCCTCCGCCTCCTCCTCCTCCTCCTCCGCCTCCTCCGCCTCCTCCGCCTCCTCCTCCTCCTCCTCCGCCTCCTCCTCCTCCTCGTCCTCCTCGGCCTCCTCCTCCTTCCCCCATCCAACTTATGGTGGTGGTGGTGGAAAACAGGCCCATCACATCTAGATTTCCCTGCCAGGCCGTGCAAACGGGCCGGCGGCGGTCCCTAAGAGACCCTCGAGACGGTCCAAGATGGCCTCCAGCGGCCCGGGACCCACGCCAGACGCCCGAAGGCGGCCCAAAGATCACCCCCAGGAAGATCTCGAATCACATGAACATGGATTGTCAATTGGTTTTTGCCTCATTTGGGGGTGCTCGGTTATTTCTTCTTCTGGGCGTCCGAGATCGTCCGAGAGGCACCGCAAACCGCTCCAAGACCACCGAAACAAGCTTCCTGACACCCCAAGAGAAGACCAGGACTGCCCAAGAGGGCCCCGAAACTGCCCACACAGATCCACATGACGGCCCCAAATTCCAAAACGCCCTCCCGAAGAATTCCAAAACCGTACAGTCGGGGCGTTGACCTAAGGAACCCTAAATAAGGAACGAGGCCCCTTTTGTTCCATAAATTTACCTTCGATTTCCCGTCGAAAACATACGGAAACCCTGTGGCAACGCAACGGGTTCCTTCTTCAGGGCCCCGACTGTAACCCGAGACCACGGTTCGCGGCATGGTGGCCCGAGGACTCTCCAGAGGCCGCCAAGAGGCGCCAGGGGTGTCTCCAGAGATGCCCAAGGAGCCTCAAAATAATCGAGCACGAGGTAGTCCAAAAACTCGCCTCTGAGGAGCCGCCGCGAACAATTATGAAGGGGAGGTGGAAGGGTTCGCGGGGCAATCAAGGCGAGAACGAGGAGGAGGAAGAGGAAGCGGACACATGAGGGACGGAGAAGGAACGCAACTCTGATAACGGTGATGGCGAAATCGTCAACCAAGAGTGGCCGATGTGTCGATTGGTCTACCTCTCGCTCAGTATGCCTTCATGTTAGACGTGGAGGACAAGTGTGCATGGCGCGAAGTGCCAATGCAGCCTTGTACGTATATAGTTATAAACTTATATGCATACATATAAAAAGTATAGATGAACACTTAGAGATACCCGTATGCTAAGGATGCGCGGTAAGGATGCAAAGGCCTGGGAGGGCTATGTTCACGTGTTCCGAACGAGGTTGGTCAGCGACGGTCGCTGAGGTTGGGCTGAAGGGGCAAGGATCTGAGGGTAGCCTTGGAAAGTTGCTCCTCATGCCTATGCGGGCTGACTGCACAGGCACGTGCATGTGTTTCTATGCCATGGGCCTCAAGGTACGAATGGGAAGTGTCCTCGGTACCCCTCCGGTCCTCTGCATCAAAATATCGGGAGCGGCCAAGAGGGGCGTGTCCAAGAGGGGGGGGTGCAAATCATGACCGGCGGCATGTGCGCGGCCCAGCGGGGGGGCCAGGGACGTAATGAAATAAGAAGGGGCGCCATGACATTTGGGAAAATATCATGGCCCCCGCCATGATATCCACCCACCCCTAGTCATCACCCCCCTCTTTCCCGCCCCCGAACATACTGCAGCTGTTCTTGAATGGGCCCACAGCCCGGAATCCCGGACGCGCTCTCGGGCGCTCTTGGGGGCTCCTCGCGTGACTTTCCAAAGGCAGGAGGGCCAACGATGGATACAAGACGCCAAAGATGGCCTCTGGCCGACGAGGGCCCCAAGAGGCGCCCCAAGAGGCACCCCAAGTGGCACCCTAAGTGGCACCCTAAAGGCCCAAACTATTGATGTCCCAAATCAGTGTTGATGGTTTTAGTGTTCTCGCCTCCTCGGGCTTCCAACGCTCCAAGACGGCTCAAGGCCCCCAAACATCGCCCCAAGACGGCCCAAGATGCCTCACAGAGGGCCCCCACACGGCCGAAGAGGGCTCCAAGTTGATCTAAGAGGCCCCCCATACGGCCCAAAAGAGCAAAGAGTGGCCCAAGAGAGACCCAGAGGGCGAACACGAGCGGACATTTGGAACCTTCCACCCAAAGATGATCATCGAGACCCCAAGAGGCAGGCACCCCAGAGGACAACATCACGCCCCAAGAGGCACATAAGAGGCCGCTGCGAGGCCCCCAAGACCCAGTGCCCAACAACCAGCCCCAGAGGCCGATTTTAAGCAAGAAAAACGCCCATACAGTCGGACTCGATTGGGTCAGGACACGCGAGAGGACACAAGACCCTTCTGAGGGCCACATTGCCACAGGAATGTCGGAGGCATGGGTCGCGAGACACAGGACACAAGGGTACTTTTGGTTTGGCAGGGTCGACCTACTAATCCAGATCGCCTGTGGCGAAACACACACACACACACAAATCGTCGGAGATCCACGACCAAAGCTCTGCGACCCAATCTTTCAGCGGCATGTCTCGAGTCACACCAGTCCGCAAAGTTCCCAGGACATACATCCTGGACCCTCAGAAAGGGGATCTCTCCCAGACCCCGGACGCCGTGATTCTTCCGTGACGTGGCCCCCAAAAGGTCTGGACCCCTGCACGAGGGCCAGCTTGACATCCTGAGCAGCCTGAGACGTCTTCTGACGGCCCCAAGTGCAGGTGAGGCCCCGAAACAGCCCCAAACAGCAGGAGAAACCTCCCGTTGTGTTTTTTCTCGCGGCGCGAAGGGGGGTCTGGGCTTCGGCTCCTTGATGATGGGGAAGTTCAGCCCCCCGAACGGGTCTACCCCTGCGGTGGAGGTCGTGTTCAGGTAGGCCCACAGCCGCCCGGACATCTCCCCGTGCCCGTCCAGGCCTTGCGGGTCTCACCCGGGCTCGCGACGGAGAGGGAAGGAAGGAGGGAGGAGGACCGCCCTGCACTACCCGTTGAGGGGGAGGGCCCGCGGCAGAGGGTGGCAATGCAGGACATAGGTAATTAACCTCAGGAGATCATTAAGACCCTCCCACCCGGCAAAAGGATGAAACTTCCCGCGCCGGGAAGCGTTATCCTTGCACCCGTCGTGAGCAGGATGATGATGATGATGATGATGATGATGATGATGATGATGATGATGATGATGATGATGATGATGATGAT